TGAAAACTAAAAACTAAAGAACATCATAGAGTATATAGCAACCATCTCCACCAATACTTTGGCACATAATAAACCAACCAATCAGAGCCCCTACCACGACTTCAAGTTAATATCAATAATAATTGAATTTAGAGTAAATGTTATGAAATATTATATTATGTAGTGGATGTATATAACTCCTAAATAAGTTACTCTTACTACTCTTCTCCATTAACCTCCCACTACTTCTTACCATTATGGTTGTAACTCTCACACCTACATAACGTCCTCTATGATATTCTCCCATGATCTGAATAGTTAATACCATATTCATGACATCCCTTTGTATTACCTCAATATCATCCTATAAATAGAGAGTTTGGACATCACATTGTATACATTTGAAAAACACTTGATGAAATAAAAAAGTTCTTTCTTGTTTATCTTATTGTTTCATATTGTTACTTTGAACTTAATTTCTTAACACGTTAGTGGGAAGATAACTTATTTGATGATGGAATTATGAATGGCCGACAACCTTGAATCAATTTAGATGAGCCTATGGAAATCTAGGCATTTCGTATGCCATATCAATGTTATGTTTGCTTCTATTATAGAGGGAGTGTCATTTTTCAATTGCCATGAATTCTGAAATTAACTTACGTTAATATTTAAGACTTGGTTTAATTTGTGTTACTTAACAATTTAGTTTCAATTGTGCATATGTATACATATGGAGTACCTCTGCTTTATGTTATCCAATCTGTATTACTATAATGAATAATGAAACAGTAAACTTTCTGAAACAGTAACAAAAAAACAGAAATAGAAGCCGAGCGACGACGACAACGACGGCGCAAGGCTTCCTTTCTTTCCAACTCATTTAACATCAAAAAAATTATTTTCTCAATATAAACACATTTACTTTTCTTTCCACCACCAATGAGAGACACTTTGCTGTTTCCAAAGCAAAAGGGAGCTTACTTTCCCTTCACTTTCTTATCTCAATTTTCCATTCACCAATCTTTTAATCCCAACACTTTTGAGTGAAAACAAGAGCATATTCCAATGCCTTGACAGCATCTCCCATATGTACTGCTCCAATAGTTTGCAAGCCAAGATTATGGAACTGTTAACTATTGAGAAGGTTTCTAATTAATCTTAAAAAATAATAAGAATTTAAATTTGTGTTGTGGTCAAAATAAATTTTATATGACTAAGATAGTTCTATTCCCTTCATATTTGATCATGAGGTTGTTTGTGGAAAAGATCTATGCGAACTTTTACTAAAGTTCGAGCAAAAATAATTGATTGTTAGAAAGTAGTATATCATGAAAAGCACGGCGATGTCGTTCGCCCATTGGATGATTTGAGCCCGGTGAGGCTAAGTTATATGGTATTGATTTGGTAAAGGATGCCTTGGAAAAGGTAAAGTTGATTCATGAACGACAGCCAGTTAGGGGTAGGGGTCAGGCAGCTAGAGGTGGAGGTCAGCCAGTGAGAGGATGTCCGAGAGGTGGAGGTCAGATTGGTAGGGCTCAGCTTCGTTGCTATGCAAAGGGTGAGTCCACTTTGGCTTATTATGCCATTGTATGAGGGTAAGACATCTGGTTTGAGTTCTCGTGCACCATGATGATAAGAGTTATGTTCGAGTCCCAACGCATTATAGCCTTACAAGCCTTTATATGGGTAAGGCATTGGGTTTGAGTCCAAATGCACCATATTGATGATATAATGATGACTAAAGAAAAATAATTTATTTTTCATTAAAAAAACATGAAGCTTGTCCCACTTGATTTGCTCCATTCTTGAATTGAATGTGATAGCAGTACATAATAAGTCTAAATGAAGACAAATGGTTGACCAATGAACGTGGGAGTGCCAAAGATCAAAATAATAATAGTCATCATTGTGGTAATTGTAAAAATGAGAACAATAAGTGTTCTCAAAATAATCCTTCAAAGGTGAAGGAAATATATATCAATATGGTTTGTTAATACGAGATATGCTCACATGATTATAGTCCATTCCTTAAAAATGTGACTCATGATAAGCATTGTAAATGCAGACTCATTCCTCAAAGTGAATGTGAAAATATATATATGATAAAGATTATACATAATAATGTGCTTATTTATGGTTGGATAAATGTCACAACTCACCTCTAAGGGAGGTTTGAGAGAAATAAAGATAATGAATATTACTATGTGGTTACATGAATATGTCATTGGTCGCATACATGTGGTACGCCAAATATTTTGACATGCTTCGTAAAAAGTTATTAAAGGCAAAATTAAAGCAATAATGATTTTGACCATGATAATTATTATGATATGATTCACCATATGAATGGTGTGACAAAAGATCTTCTAGTATAAAATCAGTTAAAAGCTCTCGAAGAACCAAATTTTTACTACCCGGATAAATGAAATTGTTCATGACATTGATATTGTAGTAAGTCTCAAAAGAAACTTTTTGAGTTTCAAAGATATTAGCCATATCGAGACTATAAATGAAAGGAAGATGGAATATCTTCATATTACTATAATCATACGAGGTAAATATGAAAGGTTGCCCGACTTTTCTTCTATTTGTACTACACAAGTATAAGCATGATGATGGAATCACATGCCACAAGTAAACTAGAGGTTTACAGAAATAAATATTAGTTGGCATGACCGGTTAGCCATCCCGGTTCAATATTCTTCAAGAATTCTCTTGTGCTGCTTATTCTCATGATATACCAGTTAAGGTTGAGATTGAATCCCTTGATTTCTGAACGAATAAAAGGTGATATATATAGGCCCAGTCACCTCCCATGTGGACCGTTTACTATTATATGAGCTTATTAGATGCATCTATTGTATGGTCGCATGTGCGTTTGTTATCAACGTGCAGTTTGGCTTTTGCAAGGTTGCTTGCTCAAATTATTAGAGTACAATTTCATAATGTAAATTATGATAATTTATCTTGATAATGCTGTTTAAATCCAAGTTGATTTAGCAGAAATTGTATGCCTCCAGTTATAGCTAAACCATTGGTTATGAGAACAAAACTTCCAAAAAGGAACCAAATAATTTTCAACTAGTTAAGATAAATTCTCCCCATCACAATTGGTTCAGGGTCAGGAACAAAATAATTTCCGTCTAGAAATATGGATGTGCTATATAATTTAATTGTTCCACCACAATGCACAAAGATGAGTCCCCAAAGAAGGTTGGGAATATGTGTTGGTGATCCCAATATTAGGGGGAGAAAATGAGCAGCTGAAAAAGTAATACATGGAATGGATTATTATGAGTACACCTAGATCCTTGAAGGATTTAAATTGTTCTAAAACATATTAAGCTTTCCAAGAAATTTTTTAAATAAAACTTTAGCAAATCCTTATGTGGATTAGAGCAATCATAGCGTACATGATATATTTTTGTGTCTACTGCAATTGGTGCACTAATGTATCTTGCTAGAATCATGAGTATAACAATATGCTTGCAAGATATAGTTTTACAACTATGTGAAGATATTGAAATACGATTAGTGTTATATTGCAAAAGGAATCCTTGATATAGATTTGTTTATTCTAACAAATATTGTTAGAGTTTTATTGGTTATACAAATGTAGGGCATAGTTCGTTGTTCATATAATATATTTGTCTGTGAGGGTACTGCCATATTATGATATTCAATAAGATTCTAATTATATTGAAGACGATACATTATGCATAGCTCAATTGAAAGAAGGACTATCGAAGGAGGCAATTTGGCAAACTTCTTCACAAGGCATTGCCGACCTCAGCAATGAAGAAGTTGTTATACTAGATTTGAATTTATCGGCTCCGAGATATCAAATGATATTTTTGTCAGGGGGAGTATAGCACGCGCTGCACTCTTTTTTCCTTAGCCAATGTTTTATCCCACTGACTTTTCTTGGCAAGGTTTTTAATGAGGCAGCAAATAATGCGTATTACAAGATATGTGTACTTTTTTTTCTTCACTAAAAATTGTTTCCATAGGATTTTTTCTTAGTAAGATTTTAACGAGACACATTATCTATAGACATTCAAGGGAGAGTGTTATAAAATATTATATTATGTAGTGGATGTCTATAACTTCTAAAGAAGTTACTCCTACTACTCATCTCCATTAACCTCCCACTATTTCTTATCGTTATGATTGTAACTCTCACACCTCGATAACCTCCTCCATAATTTTCCACATGATCTCAATAGTTATACTATATTCATGATATCCCTTTGTATTATCTCAATATCATCCTATAAATAGAGAGTTTGTGTATCGCATTGTATACACTTAAAAAATACTTAGATGAAATAAGAATTTTTTTTCTTATTCTCTTATTCTATTACTTTACTTATCTTATTGTTTCATATTATTACTTTGAGCTTGATTTCTTAAAGTAAAATATTTATAGACATTCAATAAAATTTTAAATAAGTATACAAAGTATAGACAAAAATTAATTATTGAGTTCATATAAACTTGTATCTCATACAGTCATACTATAGATCCGCCCGATATTTATACTCGACCAATACTCTGTAAATAGTTACCCTTACATACTCGACCAATACTCAGTAAATAGTTACCCTTACATGCGCCCGATATTTACATTAGACCAGCTAAATTAACTTTATCTGTTAAAAAATTAAAGTTAAGCTGGGCTTACTTAACTAAGTGATAAATACGTAGTGCGTGCCAAAAAAAAGAATTTCCTTAGGTAAATGATTTACTTTTACGAAATGTTTTTTAGCCGTACACTGTATTTGTGACTCATTTTGTAAACACCGATAAGTTTTTACCAGGTTCCTCTTTCTTTAAGAAAATCAACAAACAAAACATCATAATCAAATATTAATTCATTAAACAGTGTATCCCAAGTTAACACTTAACAACCCCAGCTAAAACTATGAACAGATGAGATTTTCCGGTTTTACCCCTCGCCTAACTACAAAGGTAAAATTACAAGAAAGGGCCTAGTAATCTAGTACAATACTACTGCATTACATTCCTGATTCAAGGGTAGGAAAGCCAGAAAAAGAGTTAAATCCAAACACACCCGAACTACCGTCAACAATCACCGCAGACGGCGAATGTGCGGCGGAGAGAGTCCCCGCCGGTGGTTGAGCCATAAACGATGAAGTGGGGTCCAGTAAAAAAGCTGATGTATCAAGAGTAGGCAAGCAGCTAACTTGCTGAACCCGGTCAACCGGTCGTCTCGGCTCCGGCTTCAAAATAGAAGCAACCGTCACGTGTCCGTTTCCTCCCATTCTCACTCCGGTCACCTGCTGTACCATCTGCCGGAAACTATCAACGTCAGCCGTTATGTACGTCGTCGACGCGCGCTTGGACGCGCGTGTCTTCCGTTTAACAATCTTCTTGCTCACCCCACCGGCGTTGTTGCTCCGCCGCTTCGACACGGCGGTTTCGTTCTCCGTCGACCCGCCGGAAACCGTCGGCCCTGAGGCAGCACTCGGGGTCTGAAACGACGTCGTTAACGTTGGCATAATCATCTCAGTTTCTGGGTTTGAAAAGGATTTTTGAAGCACTTTCGTTAAAGTTTCAGTTTCTTTAACGAACATGTCCTGAAACCATGCATCGTTAAATGTAGAACGAAAACCCCATGGCTCCATCGTCAACAAATTATCAGAAGACGCCATTTTTTTCTCCAAATTTTTGCTAAAAAAGTGTTGAAATTAACGAAATGGACTTTTTTTAAAGCTCAAAATGGTCTATAACATTAGGTGTGAAAAGAGTGAAGATTTTTTGGGATGAAGGGAAGGGAAAGAGATGTTAGAGAGGAGATATGTGAGGAGGAGAAAGGGGAATATATAGAAAGGAAGAAACCGCGTTTTCTGGTGACACGCGTCAGCAGATATGTACGGAACAGTAATGACTCAATCAAGACTACAAATTGTTAAAACTATGGTTTAACATAGAATTTTGTTTTGACTGTAGAGTGAAGGAAAAGAAGCAAAGGTTTTATTCCTTTTTTCCTCTTCTGTATTTTTTTATTTCCTATGTAAATAACATCTGGTATTAAGAATGTACAAGCCTTATTAATTTGTCAAATTTTCTTGCTTTACAATTTAAATTAATTCAATATAGCCGACCGAAGTATAATATATACATAATATATGTATAATATATATATATAATTTATGTATACCGATTAGAAAAAATAAACTTTAAATTTGACCGGCTATTTGTGTAACAATCCCTTCTTTTAATAATTTTCTATTTTCACTAATAAAAATATACAAGTTAAACAACAGTATATTTTAAACTTTGTATTGTATAAAATAGCGTCATAATAAACTTATTAAAGAACCGATCTTCTGCTCGCTAAAGTAGCATTTTTTGTTGTTGCGTTTTTTCATACAAAATAAACAGGAGGAAGGATCAGCGTTTTAAAAGGCGAGGGCGTGAGACGGAGCGTTTTACTTAACGTGAGACGAGGTGTAAGCCCCCGAGACATAGGACGTAAGCCCCATAGATCTTTAATTTTTTGCTTTATAAATTAATAAATAACATAATATAAAGTACATTAAAAGTTTTAAAAAATTAAAAAGATTAGAATAACTCATAAAAAATAAAATATCTAGCATTTTTTTATAATTATAAAACATACAAATGTTCGAGTTATTATTAGTTAAAAATAAATTATAACATCTTATCTTTCAATCAATTAAAAAATCACAATAAAAAATATTATCAAACTACACGGTTTACCTCCCTAAAAGTTAATAATTAGGAAACTTCATTAGTACATTAATTTAAATTATTACTTCTTATGAGTAAATATAAAATTGCTTATAAATAGCAAAATAATAAAAGTTTGATAAGTTTCAGAAACATAGAACTAAGATATGACGAGCTACAATAAATGAAGATATAAATTTGGGCTATTTATTTTCATAAGAAATATTCTTTTGATATTCACCCTATTTATACGTAAATATATAAATATATAATACTATGACTCCTTATTTTGAATTACTCTCAATCTTTATATTTAGATGGATGAATAGGGCTTTAGTCGTTTATTTGTTAAAAAATTTTGAGTGTCGATAAAGCTAATTAGGGAATTCGACGCATGATTTTGTGTTAGGAACTGTTAGGCGAGCCCCGAGCGCTGAACGTTGAGAGTGTTTCGGACGCTTAGTCGGGCGCTTGGGGTGTAAGCCTCACAGAACTAAGTCTCACACGTGAACCTCAAGGCGTTTTAATAGTGCCCCGTCCCGGGGCGAGCTCCTAGACGAGTCCCCAAAAAAACCTTTTAAAATAGTGGGAATGATCACTAGCACAACTGGTGTTTAAATAAATTGATAAATACACAAAGTATGTTGTTGACATATACTTATGTTATTTAAGAGTTTAGAAAAAAAAAGATAAATTAACTTGTGACTTTAAACATGTGTGGGTATTTGTGTGATTATAAAAAAAATTAAAATTTACAATTTTAAATATATCAAAATATTTAATTGTTTGTAAAAGCATCTCACTAGCACAATATAAAAAGTTAAAATTAAGTCGTTTTCATATAAAATTCATCGTATTTCACAAAATAACATCCACATAAACTGAAATAGAAGAGTAATTAATCTAATATTCGTGTAAAGCGCATGTATAAATAAATTTATTCAGTAAAGCCAAAATAATGGGTAGTATGATTTAGGGGGAGGCAGCAGTTTGCGGTTAATAGTTTTTGACGGTGGGAACCGCGTCCTACGCGTTAACACGAGTCCCAACCCGGCCTTGTTTCAAATCTTTGCAACTGTAGTTCGCACTTTTTGACATAAAAAGGCCTATGTAGATGTATGCCGCTTTTGCCGTTTAAGTTTGCCCTCTATTTTTTTAAAAATTGGGGAACAATAATTCATAGCTTAATAATTTGAGTTGTAGTCTAAGTAATGAAGCAATTTTGCTAAGGGGTGTTTTGGTTTAGAAGTAAGTTATGCTAGAATTGTTACGTAGAATTAATTATACAAATAATAAAATACAAATTATTGTTAGTATTCCTGTGTTCAAAATCAGAGGGAAAAATAAAGTTAGTTCAATAAATAAATCGTAAAATAATTTCGAGCCCACAAGTTGCTTATGTGTCATTAAAGAATTTAATCCCCTCACTGTTATCCAAGGTTATGGATTACTTCCTCCCAGGATAGAACGAAACAAACTATTCTGTAATACTGGCAATCAAAATTACAGAACTTTGGCGAACTCAACAAACAGAGCAAATCTGTAATGACCCGTTCGTTCGTTCTGAGAGTTATAGCCCCGTTTCTCCCATTTCTGCTTATTTGTGTGTTGTTCAGCTGTGTTGGGTTGTTTTGAATTGGTAGTTTGGATTCGGAGTAGTTTTGGAGTGAAATGAGACACTTAAACTCTTAGTTAGATAGCTAAGTTAGAAAAAAAGTCAATCAGAAGTTGACCTATGAGTAAAGTTTTGTTGGGTGATTTAAGACATAGGAGTGTGTCCGGAATGTAATTTGGAGGTCCTTAGTAGAATTAGGATTGAATTGGCGAAAATTAGAAATTTGGCGATTTTGGTCGGCAGTGAAAAATTAGGTATCGGGGTCGGAATGAAATTCCGGAAATTAGAGTAGGTTCGTGGTGTCATTTGTGACGTGTGTGCAAAATTTGAGTTAATTCTGAGTTGATTTGATATGTTTTGGTGCGAGTTTTTGGAAGTCGAAAGTTCAAAAGTTCATTTAGTTTGATTTGAGACGCGTTTCATCGTTTAAATGTTGTTATGCATGATTTGAGGCCTCGCGTTGGTCTGTATTATGTTATGGGACTTGTTAGTATGTTCGTACGGGGTCCCGAGGAGCTCGGG